GTCTCTGAAGTCCTAGTTTTCTTGCTGATTGGCAGCAACAAGCTGGTAACCTTTCTGTGCTCCTCCCCTTCACCTCTACCCCGACTGAAGTAATAAGAGCATCTGTGTCAGAGAGGGCTTCAGGGTAAATGAGGAAGATTTGTAAAGCAGCAAATAGCACCCGGCCCATGAATGCTCTGTAGTGCTTGTTAAATACAAATAACTTGCCCTTCCTAGGTCTACACGGGTTAGGTAAATGGGTGGCCCCAACAGGCACCCTTGAGTCATTGTTCACAGTGACCAAGGCCTTTGCCTCTTTTTCCATCTTAAATGTAGTTAACTTTGACTCTTGTGTTTCTCTGTTTGGAGGGGAAGGGATATGATAGTAAAGTGGATATTGACCCTTTAATGTGAAGTATTACAGCATTTACTACTATTTTTTTTGTTTATTAGCATCTATACAGCCTACGTTGGATTTTTGCCGAAGACTGGACAGTATTGTTGGGCCCCAGCTCACCGTGTTGGCATCTGACATCTGTGAGCAATTTAACATCAACAAGAGAATATCTGGGTTTGTACTTTGCTCTGTGTTTACTTTCAAGCATTTAATTAGTCCTGGAAGAATAGGACTGGCTTTTACTTAGGAATATGGGCTGTGTTAACATTATGTTTCCTCTCAAGCCAGAGAACAGCAATGGCTGTTCATCCTGTCTGAAAAGCTTCCCAGGGAACTGTTGTGAGGTTTCTGCCTCTAGAAGCCAATGGGGGCTGGGTCTGCTATTTCTGTTCCCTCAGTTTACCTTTGGTTGGACTTGAACTTATGGGATTATATGTGCTAGCTGTGCCTGTGGGCTTGGCTTCGTGAGTACCACATCCGACTTGACCAACCCAGATTGCAAACTTCACACTGGCAGTAATGCCAGCAGGTTTTGCTCTGTGCAGACTGAGAGCTCTTGGTCTTTGTGCAGAAGTGTGTAAGGTGAGGTTGACCGTGGTATATGCTGTGAGGGCCTTGGCTTTAAGGGCTCCTGGCCAAGTGTAGAAGACACAGGTTAAACTTAATTTGACTCAAAGAACACTGAAATTACTGAACTACTCTTTACCTTAAATGTAAGTAGAATAACTGTAAAGTGAGGAGATCAAAAGCACCACCAGGGAGTTCCCAGGCCTCCAGATTTCACGTTTTAATAATGTAATTGTATAGTTTGGATAATTATTCTTGCAGAATTTTAGCATTTCAATGACTTGTTTTCACAGGTCTGAAAAAGAACCCCAGTTTAAGTTTATTTACTTCAACCATATGAATTTAGCAGAGAAAAGCACAATTCATATGAGGAAAACACCCAGTGTGTCACTTACATCAGTTCATCCAGATTTAATGAAGATTCTGGGTGATATCAACAGCGATTTTACAAGGTAATTCTAACAACTTCTCAAGTGACGTGTCCCCTCTTTGTTAAGAGACACTTAGGGACTCATCTTCTAAACCAAATGACCCAGAGCCCTCCAAGGAAGACTCACACTTGACCTCCTTCCCAGTGGCACATCCACGCAGGCCACCAAGCCCAGAAGTGGCTGTGCCTGTGACACATGACAGCATTTGAAACTCTTATCTTGCAGAGTGGATGAAGATGAAGAAATCATCGTGAAAGCCATGAGCGATTATTGGGTCGTTGGGAAAAAGTCTGACCAGCGGGAGCTGTATGTTATTTTGAATCAAAAAAATGCAAACCTGATTGAAGTAAATGGTAATGTAAATTTTGGAATTTAAGCACAATTCTAATGCTACTGATACTTAAAAGCTGTTTTCATTGTACTAAGAAACATGCTACATAGACAAAACCATGATTTGGGATGTTAAGCAGAGGCCTCTGTTGCTTAAAGGAAAATCACCACTGGGTCCATTTTCTGGTTTAGGTCTTATTGTATTGGGTTTTGTTATTTTTTTTAAATGATTTTCAAAATATAAGCTGTTTTTCAAGTTCCTTGGAAAAGTACGTCACTTTCCTGTATCATGTGAAACCTGACAAAGGCCTAAAGAAAATTTTTTATAATGCTTTAAGGGGGAAAAAAATCATATAGCTCTACAGACTATGAACAGACATGTCCGTTTTTATTCCCTGTGGTAAAACACACATTTTATAGGAAGAGCTGCCAGAGTCAAGCAGCAGTCTGCAGCCATCCATTTTAGTGAACAGAAAATAAGGAGGCGGAAGTGTCCGGTGTGATCCTGACATTTGCTTTGACCTGACAGCTCTGCTGCCCTTGAGAAAGGGTGTCACCTTCCCTGGCACGGACACCAGTGCTGCTTGGCATGAGAGCTGGGCAGGGCGTGCGAGTTAGGAGAAAAGTTAATATGCATGTCATTTTGCTGCCTGTTTTCTGGGGCATATTGTATACTAACACTTGTATCCGTGGTTGTGTACATTGGAAGCATCAGTGTATGTTCATTAATGCAGTGCCTCTGTGGAACATGTGATTCACAGTTCAAGGTAGCAGGTGGGGGTTTTGTGTTGTTACGTTAGATTTATCCAGATTTTAGAAGCTGCCCTCCTAACCCCGATAACCCTGAGGGTGTCGGGCACTTGGGGTACCAGGTTTGAGCTTTGAAGTTTCTTGGGCACATCAAGTGTTTTCCCCTCACTTGATTAACTTTTCTTAGGCTTTGAGAATGAAGGTCAGATGAATGCAGTTTGTACTCCCAGCTTTATTCCAAAAGAATTTTAGGTACTAATTGGTATCATACAACCTTCTAAGTGGGAACCTCCAATCCTTACTCATGGTTTTCTTTTCTTTTTGCAGAAGAGGTAAAGAAACTTTGTGCAACTCAGTTCAATAACATATTCTTCTTGGATTGACTGAAAATGATTCACCGAAATAGCTTTTAAAAAACAAATCAGCAAGCATTTTGTTTACCATGGCAGACTATTGGTCATATTATTGACTGGATTAATGATATTAGTAAAGCAATACTTGCTTTGAGGAATCAAATTTCTACTCAGTCTGATGATGCCCTGAGGTTTTTAAATTTTAAATATTTATGTGGACTTAATTAAAGGTAGTCAGCTACATCTCTATCATTCCCTTCTTTTGACATTATGTGAATATTTTACTGGAAAATACGACTAATAAATTGTTAAAGTTTTTAAAAGTCTGGTTTTGCATCGAGTCTCTCTCCAGTTGCTTGTCTGTAGATCACACTAACGAGTGGGTCTCTGGCTGATCTTTGGGAATTTTCTAGCAGAGAGAGCATTTCAGAGTGGGGTCCTTCAGTCAGGAGGCTTGAAGTGGGGAACTGTGAGGAATCAAATTTGCCTGACGCTGCTGCTAGACTTGGGTTTTTATCTTGAGCACTACCATGATTTTCAGCCCATGTGTAATAAAAGAGCTGAGCGAAAGTACCTAGGCAGCAGCACTAGCCCCACCAGACAGACCTGCAGGATGGCTGCAGCCCCACATGCGTCGCACAGCGGAAGCGAGTCAGGCCGAGCCTCACTTAACTGAATGGTTGGTGCTTGGACATCCCAGAATTGGGGTGAAAACAACCCTGGTGTGGCCTGGAAAACCTGGTACCATCCAGCTCTGCACTGCTCCCCCACCTAACCTGCAAGAGCCTGGTGAGTGAGGAATCAGTGAGCACCCGACAGTTTGCACGCTTGTCATCCTCGCACAGAGTGATGCAGCTTTCCATGGTTTTCCTCTCCACCCGTAAGTTCCTGAAGACTTCCCAGATTCTGGTCATGTCAGGCTGTGTTCGCATGTTGCCCTCATGTTGTCTTGGTAATACACAGAGATTAGACCATGGTCTCTGCAGTATCAGTCTAGTTTATTCTGTTTTCTAATGCTCTGTCAGACTTTAGTGTCATTGTTTAAGTTATTCTTACTCAGTGGTTGTCTTCCTGGTCCTTTTTCCTTTATGTAATTTTACTGTCAGTAATTTTGTCACCTTTCTCAAGGCTAGTATGTAAGATACATAGGAATAATGCCATTTTTTGGTTAGTCCTTTTATCATTTTTGTTAACGTGTTTGCTTTAAAATCTTATGTTTTTAATCCTGCTTGCAGTTACTCCAGTCATCCTGATTAGCTTTCCTGGCACATTACCCATATCTAGTTTCATCCTTTCTGCCTGGTTTTAAGATGTTTCCCTGTTAACACTGAAGTAAATTTGGATTATTTTTACCCCAGTCTAACTTCTGGAGGAAGATGAGGTAAGTTACATAACCTGTGATTTCCAGTATATTTGCATCTTCCCACTATTGTTGTGTTTTCTGTTTCCATTTTTGTTTTCCTTTTTCCCAACTTCATTTTGGATGATAATTTTTATCCTGCTAGTTTGGAAGCCATACATTATTTGTGTATGCTTTGGCGGTTACTCTTAACACAAATTATTAGCTGTCGTGTTTTCTAACAGATTAAGTCTCCGTTTAACCACCGATGGTCTCCCTCGCCCCTCTGCTGCTGCCTAGAGCTGCTGTTGCAGGCGGGTGGGAAATGCCAGGGAGGAAGCCAGAGCAGAGGTAGGACAGTGGGCCAGGACACGGCCCATGCCAGGAAGGTCTCCTGGACTTGGAGAGGATCTGGGCGAACTGTAGCCGCTCTCCCTGTAATGGCTGGTTTCATCTGTTAAACTGCTAAACTTAATCATCAGTACTGTGCTTTTTAAGAATGTACTTAGTAGCCACATTTAATATGCATCTTTATTTATTTTCATTCAGCTCAGTTTTCAGAAGGCAAAAATATTTCAGTGATCCAACCACATAAGAACCCTAAAAGCAGTGAACCTACATAGTGGTAGTTCAAGAACATAAAGTCAAATGAAAACAATTTTACTGATCAGGAAAGTTGTTACAGTTCAAAACTTTTTCCGTCAGCTTATACGTGTGACTCACACCAACCCAGTCACCGCTAGCTCTACTTTTTCTTTTTCTTACTTGAGACAGGCTTGCTGGATTGGGAGACCACCGTGTCCTCTTTCGGGGGGCTCAGTGTGAAACTCGAAGATATGACATCCACCGGCTCCCTGAACGTAGCCGTGTCGAGCTCACCGTCTTGTCTTTTGGCCTCTTCCTCTCTCAGGTTATTCAGCCTAACAAGAGAAGCAAATATAAGAAGGTATATATTTTTTTTATTTCAAAGTCAGTTTTTTATGCAGTGTATGCCAGAAACTAGTCCATATTCATTTTTGTAAATAATTATAAATTATCCTTTTGCCTAAAAAGTGCCATGTCCAGTCAGTCCTGGATAGAATTTCCACGTGTCTGAAGTGATTCGTGAACCACGTTTCTCTGTCGCAGTCTGGCAGCTCCTAAGTGGCCTTTACAATACCCCTTGCCATCTTCCTCCTTGGGTGGCTTAATGTTTTCTTCACTGGGCCAACACGCTCATCACGCACTTAACAGGGAACGGGTATTTGTACTCCACGCTGACCTGCCTGCCTAGAACGAGCCTCCACAGCAACTCGGGAAAGGTGAGTGTGCGGCACGCGCTGGGTGTTCAGTCTGCGGTAGGCACTGTTCTAGGCGCTTTGCTTAGCCCTTGTGGGGGCTCAACTGCACAGATGGGGAAGCCGAGGTGCTCTGTGACGGCCCCCGCCCAGGTTACCCAGTGTGGGCGCTGGGTGGGCTGGGACCAGGCAGGCTGGCCTGTGGCCTCCCGGCCTCTGCGTCTCCTTGCCTCTTGCTCTGCCGCTGAGCTGGCCCTCGTGTTGCCCTGGTGGGGGCCTTAGGGCACGAGCCTCCTCGTCACCCCTAACAACCAGGAGAGAAGAGGTAGCCCAGGCAGGCTCTGAGGGTCCCAGTGCACGAGGAAAGGCCACCCGACCCAGGGGGTCTGCTTTAAATGAAAGCTGTTGGCTCTGCAGCTTCTGGGAGCTACAGACAGGAGAGAAGTAAGAGCTGGAAGGAGGAGGGACTGATTTTTCATGTTACCTTTCCTCCAGTTCATCATTTTCAATTTTCCTCTGTTGAGCCATTGCTGCGTTATGTAACCTGTCTTCCTGTATTTTCTCCTTGAGTATTTCTTCATGTTTATGTGCTTGAAAGAGTATAGTCACAAAAAATATATACATGTTATTAATCCACATGTTGAGTTTTTCCTTTTCCTGATTCTTCAGTTTTTCTTTTTTCTCTGGAAGAAAGATTAATTTTTTAAAAGCATTTTATTTATATGTACTTGAACTAGGGTACAGGTCAGAGTTGTGTGTGGCGGGGTGAGGATCAGCAGAGACAGAGTGGGGAGCAGAACAGGCCGACTGACTGAAGTACACTGCTGAAGGGAGCAGTGAGTGAGTCAGGAGAGGTCTGCTGCGCTGTGTGGGCCAGCTCCCTGGCTGGGGTCAAACTCTTGCTGCAGTGCTGCAGACAGCTTCATACTGCTGAGACTTTGCCCCTTGTGCCACCAGGGAGGCCCCTAGAAAGTTTAATTTTATGAGCATATAAAATCCTACAATAATGGGAACTTGTGCTCACATTTCAGTCCTGTCACTTCCTGTGGTGAGCTGTGTCCTCAGCCCCCTGTGGTGGGGGGATGGTGCTCTTCATGGGGCTGTGAAAGCAAAGCTACCTACAGAAGGCTTCGGTGGCACCTAGAGCAGGTAAGTCTCAAGAGATCATGGCTGTGATTTTTCCATGTTTAGGATAAGCAACCTGATTTCTGCTAAAGCTATCTTAAAATTTTTTTTTTCATTGAGAAAATAGAATTTTAACTCTGAAATGGAGGAAGATAAAATTATTATCAAGGGGGCCCTCCCTGGTGGCACAACAGATTAAAGCGCAGCACTTTGAAGTGATCGACAGCCACTGCCGCACAAGTTCGATTCCTGGCTCTATCAAGTTACCTGCAGTTTGATCCCCGGCCAGGGAGCTGACCTGCATGGCCCAGCAGACCTCTCCTGTCTCGCCTGCTGCTCCCCTCAGCAGTGTATTTCAGTCACTCTGCCTGTTCTGCTCCCCACTGTCCTGCACCTCAACTTTTGTATGCATAAATAAATAAATCTTTAAAAAAATAAAAACTATTAACTTAGGAGTATCTTCTAACACCAGTAGATACTCGTTTCCATGTTTTTAATATTTGATTCTGAGAAACTAGTGCTTCAGATAGTTCTGTAGTGTCAGTAACCTGGACTCTTTAAAAACTGGTTATTTGTAGACTGTCCTTATCTCAGAATACTCCGCTTCAAGAGGGGGATGGGCACTGTGGAAGGTTTAGTGTTCTTAACTGGACTCCACCCTCCTGTCCAGGAGCCAGGGTAGGACAGACTGTGGTGCCAATGCCAGATTTTATGAATGAACAAATGGAAACCACCTGCACTTCCCACCTGAGCTCTGAGGCTTTGAAATATTAGCATAGCTGGTAGCAGCCAGGCTGGGAAAGAGATGTGGCACCTGACAAAAACCAACCCACTGGGGTTCTCAGCCCAGTCTTCGGGCACCACTTCTGGGGATGGCACAGCTCTGTGTTCTGAGCACCGGCCATTTGGACTCTTCCTAACTGTTCTGAGCTGTGTTACCTTGGCAGGTCAACATCTCTTCACCCAAGTTTCCTCATCTGCACAAGGGAAGCCACAGAGTACCCCTCATAGAGTGGGGGTGAGGGTTAGAGCACTGACTTCCACTCAGAGAAAACTTTCAATAATATGCTGGTGGTTTTCCCACAAGCCATGTCTGACAAAGGAAATTACAGCCTTACAGGTTATAAAATTAAAAAGCCACACACTGAGAGAAAATATCAACGAAATCTGTTTTCATTTATCTCAGTGAGACAAAGCCAATAAAAAAATTTTAAGAGCCTCTTATCAAGCCATCATCAGCCTCTGTGGCATGAGTTCAACCTCCAGCAGGGAGCTGACCCACATGGCACAGCAGACCTCTCCTGTCTCACCCATTGCTCCCCTCAGCAGTGTATTTCAGTCAGTTCACCTTTCTGTTCCCATTCTGTCTCTCGTGAATCCTCTCACTAACCCTACACCTCTGGCCTATTTCCCAGTTCTTGTATGCATAAGTAAATTATAATAAATCTTTAAAAAAACATTTTTTTTAACTCAGTCCTAAGCATTGGAGAGGACCTAGAGAAATGATACCTTCTTATCATTTACATGCATTATTGTTGGCATGTAAAGTGGTAGGCCAATTAGGAAAATAGTTTTCCTATTTTAAACAGTAAGCATTTACTTAACTATGACAATTCCATCGCTAGATAGCTACCCACAAGGAATGAAGTCATGTCTGCACAGGTACGTGCACACACAGGTAAATGGCAGCATCAGTCATGACCGTCCTTAACAGAAGGGATCAAGTAGCCCACATGGTGGGCTACTGCTGACAACACAAAGAAACCAAGTACTAACTCATGCTACAATGTAAACAAACTCCACAACTATTAGACATGAAAGAGCCAGATGCAAAAGACATGATTCCAGAGGCCGCCCCATAGAGCAAGCGGACCACTAGCACTAGCCGGCGCCCCTGGGCCTCACACACCAACACCCTGTGCCAGCTTCCTATGGCACTCCTGGCGGCAGCAGAAATGACCTGTGGCTGATGGCTGGTGAGTATGCACAGAAAGCCCAAGCAAATCCTTGGCCAGGGAGAAACCACAAACTTGCACTTCTATAGCAGCCTTAGGAAAGCAGAAGAGAAGCTGCCCACACCTGGCCTGAGGTGTCACAGGAATCCCCACGAGAGGGAGCACGCAGCACGCAGCCAGCACATCCAGAGGTCAACTGAGTACTCACTCCAGAGCCCTAGCGGGGCTCAGGGAAGACATTTCTCTCCAAAAGGGGGTTGTAGAGACTAGGAAGTGATTGTTACTTCAAAAGCAAAAATGGCAGTGCACAAGCCCTAGGAAGATGCGGCCTAGGAAACAGGACACCACAAGGGGCCTGACACTTTCCTGGTCATCAGCCCCCAGACGGACTCCCTAGTTGACCTGATGAAGGGTTCAGAGCAGCAGTTGTGAGGATGCTCATTGAGCCACTGGAAAACAGGCAATTCCATGAAATCAAGATGATGAGAATAAAATGAGAAGCTTTAAACAAGAGAGAAATGAGCCAAGCAAACCCTGAAGGATACAGTCAATTAAAAGTTGCAGTGAAGAACATCCACAGCAGAGTGGATCCAGCAAAAGACACCACCCAAATTGCAGAACTTTGAAATTATCCAGCCAGAAGAAGAAACTAGGAGTGAGAAAGCAGAGTGGATCCAGCAAAAGACACCACCCAAATTACAGAACTTTGAAATTATCCAGCCAGAAGAAGAAACTAGGAGTGAGAAAGTCTTAGGATGCTCTTGGCATTGTCAGCTCTGGATTTAGAGCAGTGATTATAACAAAGTCCCTGATCTTGGAACACTTAGGCTCTTGGAGTGGGGAGAGGAGAGGGAGAAAGAAGTGAGTTTCATGTAGTGATACCAGCAAAGGAAAAATAATAACTGAGGCAGAGAGGGGAAGGGAGCCTGGTTCCTGCTTGCCAGGTTCACACATCAGCCATTTTTTCTGATTATTTAGTTTTGTTGTCTGAAAATCTAAAGTCTCTGGCAAAGCCCTCAGGAGGGGCTTGCGAGAACAATGTCCTTTGCATTCATGAGTGGCCAAAGAGTTGGTGTACAGCTTTCACCTCTGAAAGCTAAATATGAAATCCCTGACTCGTCTTCTCCCCTTAAGGAACTTTTGCTCTGACCATCCAATCCTCAGTTTTAATTAAGTTACTTCTGTTTCCTAAAAGCCATTTTCTCTAAGTGTTATTTAGAAGAATAGAGGACTTTGTGAATGTGGTGGACTTTGTGAATGTGGTGGGGCATTTTGTTTATTTTATTCTTGCTTTTCATTTCCAAGATCTAGGCCATATTTTACTTTTCAAATAAATGGACCTGGTTCTTTAATAAGGTAAGCACAGGGGCATGGGTTGATAAACAGGAGAGGGATGAGATTGGGAGCCATATAGACGGGGCTGAGGGATCAACTAGGAGATGAGGAAAAGAGTCAGCAGATAAAGAACATGTCAGAGAGATTTTGTTAAGAAAAAGGATAATGAGCAATTTTAAAAACCAAAGAGAATGAGACATCTGAGATTGCTACACGGATCTAGTCAAAGGTCAGGCTCCAGAGGCCTGTGGGGCCCAGGTGAGACAGCTCCTTGACAGACCAAGACAAGGTGAATCTGGGAAGAGTGACATCACAAAGGTGGCCTCATAGGCTGGTTTTGCCCCACAATCAGGAACAACTATACACATTTCTAAATAAAATACTAGAACCAAATTCAGCAGCATAGTGAAAGGTTCAGCCACTGTGACTGAGTGGACACTACACCTCACTTTCTGTGCTGGGGTGCAAGGTGTGCAGATCATGACGCTGTACCCTGTGGGAGGGCAGACAGGGCCAGTGAAACTGGGAAAGAGCAAATTGTCAAATCGGGAGCAGAATTGGAAGTGGCAGTACCAGTATTTTTTTTTTAAATACAGTTGTACATTTTTATATACTTTAGATAATTTATAAGCACAATTTATAAATATTAAAGTTCTATAATTAAAATTCTTACCTTTTTGAGATAAATAAAAGCTTAGCCCTCTTCCTGCTGATTTATAATTCATTTTGGAAATCTTTCCATCACTTAAACACTTCTTGATCTTGAATTTCTATGTTTAAAAAATTATAAAAGCAAAATATTCTGTTTCTTTATGGACTAAAACAAGTTTTCTGTATTATTATTAACTGATTAATAATTATCAGTGAGGCCTTTTTTCTTAAGCTGTATGATTACTTTTAACCTTATAAGAGGTTGATACTTTTACCAGAAATGAGTAACAATTACTGAAATCTACTAAAAGGCTCCCCACAAGAAGCTAAAGATTTGAAAATCTTTGAGTCCGTTGGGAAGCTGTTACACAGTTAACTGTATTATATCCCATACTGATGGCTTAGTTACCACATATGTGCTGTTAACGTGCATGTTTTCTACCTCAACTTTGAACTCCACTTGTATCTCCAGTCATCCCACTACTTGGATATTTAAGTATCCAAGGTCTAACGTCAAAAATCACCCCGTTAATTCTGCCCCAAAAGTCATCTCCTTCCCACCTCAGTCTTCCTCAGTCTTCCTCAGTCTTCCCTCATGTAGAAAATGTCTACGTAATTCTACCAATTATGGGGCCAGAGTATCTTACAAATACTTTTGCCTTCTCTTTTCCTCAAGCTCCACAGCCCACAAAATACCTTCAGGTAATTCCAAAAGCTTCCCTACTGGTTTGTGAACAGAGATGCCATAGTGAGCCTGCTGGCCCCTCTCTGTTCATGGGGGCTTCCTTCTTGAAACAAAAGGGAGGGCCTCATCACAGCCAAGTGTTCTCCAGGTCCTGCCTCATGGTGCACTCAGTTCATCTTCCTGGGCCACCTCCATATGGCTACACTTCTCTTTCCACCACCCGAACATGCTCCTACCTCAGGCCTTTGTATAGGACAGTCTTCCCTCCCAGTCTACCTGGTATGCTCAGATGTCACCTCACTAGAAGACCTTCCCTTCCCAGCCCACCTGTCACTCAGTCTCCACATCCTACTGCCTTCATCTTTGTACTAGTAAGTATAAAGAACATAGATAGCACTGTGGTCATAGAGGGAAATTCTGGGGTCAGACTACCTGCATGCTAGACCCCTGCTGCTCCACAACTTCCTACTTCTGTGACTGGGCAAGTTACTTAACTCTTCCATACCTCAGCTCCCACTGGAGATAGTGGTAGCCAAAGGAGGTTTTGAGCATTAAATGTCATACCCTGACAGCCCTTACCTGGTAACACCCACTCTGTAAGTATTAGCTGTTACCCACACACACTTCTTAGACTCTGAAGTCCACAGAGATAGGCTGTTCATGACTAGCTC